ATGATTTTGAATTAGGAACCCTTTGTCCTATGAAGCATTTTTATAAATTTATCTTTCGTTCTTACAAAGTTACAACGTTTCTCAAGGTCATATATGCTAAACGACTGTAACTCATGTTTTATTAATATTGCGTACTTTATTCGACTTTATATTGTTAAGAATAGACTTTTTTTACATCATTTTTCTACTCTAGGCTTCTTCGGTACATTAGACATAAGTCTCTTCTACAAGGAACAGAAGCATTTTAGGAATCAAATTAGGTACAGGTGTTGATGTTAAAATTTTGCATCTCGTTTCAAGCCTTGCCTTTTAAAATAGTGTACGGTATAAAATCAATTAATACAAACCAGAATGTGAAATATGTACGTTATAAAATCAATTAATTCAAGCCTAGCCTTTTGCATCTCGTCTTTTTAAACCAAGTATCTTACAGTTTGGAACTTGACAGGTTGCAACACGATTTCTCTCTGCAAGCCCTCCTCTGTATTGGTTTGCCTCATACGTTATGGTTAACCCCGGTCGCTTTAAGAGATGGGGATATATTATCTGGGCATACTCTGTTGCTTATATCCTCCTTGGCAGTCTTCTCTTTTCGAATTTCTACCCTTTCACATGATTAATTCTTGCAGCCAAAACACTTCAGCTATGGTATGGGAGCGTTCGGAGCTTCATAAACCGAATTGATTATTTTGGACTAAAAAAAATGGTTAGAACTAGAGCCTTAGAGTGTACACTACATGGTGCGATTTTGAGACACTAATGAAAGAAATTGGGTTTTGAAGCAATTCCAGTTAGCTTTTGCTACGGTTGTATTTCACTATAATTCATGCAGTGATGACCTCTGTGTGCATAACCCGATGATTGACTACTGGTTAAAGTAATTCTATATCTTTTGCGGTTGAGACTGGATTGTTGGGTGAGTTTATCAAGTTCAGTGATGACCTCAGTATGTATAACCCGATGATGGACTACTGGATAAAGTAATTCTATATCTTATGCGGTTGAGACTGAATTGTTGGGTGAGTTTATCAGCTTCAAGGAAGAGGTCTTGACTGCTTGATTGCTTGCTTGAATAAACGGTCGTTTGATTGTTAATATCTCTGAACTTGTAATCAGGGTACAGATTTTTATCATTGATGTTGTAGTGCGAAGAGTTTGAATGATTACTTAGGGGATTCTTTGAGGAAAAGTTATTTAACTGATTGATACAATGCATTATGTACCTATTTTTTGACCTTGCTTGTAATTATTGACTTGCGAAGATAATGACCGTGTTGAATAATTTCTTGTGTTTATGATAGCTTTTGGGTAGTGTCTCCATATAGAAAGCTTTCCTAATTATTCAAATGTTTAAGTTAATATGATTGTAAGTTTTATTTATATAATATATAAATTTGCATTATATTAACTTTCTGATTCTGATTTCCTTTTGCAGACTCTATTTGATATTTTGTATCAGTAAAAGAATACAAGGTCTCTAGGTAAGCAATTTTGAATATTGTTTTACTTTCTAGCATTGTGTTCCCAGAAGTTTAAGCAACTGCTAGACTGCTAGAAACTTTGTTAGAAATCGTTTTGAGAGCTTTCGTCAGAAGATTTGAACTTTCACCCTCAAGGAAATGAGTAGATATCAATTACCGACCAGATATAATATCTTTAATGGCCATCAGTTTAGTCAAAAAGCAATCCCATTATATAATCTCTATGAAATGTTCCACACCGAGACATCTCTGTCGAGATTCGATATCAATTAGTTTGAACTTTCAACACTGTACAGGAAAGTTGAGATACAAAATGCAAAGAGAGTAAGAAATATCTCAAACAGAGGGCCCAGATCTAAGCACTCTCTCTAGTTTCTCAGCCTTGGTGTAATCATTTTCATTGAGTGGCCCAGCAGGAAATGGAGTTATTTCCACAATAAGATGTGGGGTTGGAAGCTCATCAAACAGAGCTCTCACATTGTTGCAGCAAACACTCTCCCCATGGGCACTTTCCCTCCTTATTTGACAACCCTACAAAAGACAAACCACTGTTCAGAACAACATAACAACATCCCTCTACATCGTGACGTCTTCAAGATTCGTGGTTGAACGAAAACTAAACAGTTTGCGTGTATGAAGAGTGAAGGAATGAATTCTAGGATTGTGATTTGATTTAGTACCTTGTGGGAAGTGGCATCAATGAAGTGATCGTCATCGGAAAGGAGGGATGCAATGGCTTTAAGAAGGCGTCGTCCTTCAGATTTAGAAGGCACCCGATAGTTCCGTCGGAGGGTACCCTTTGTAGTAGGATGCCATTTGCTCACTAGTTTCCTTTTATCAACTGCTTCATCCACTGTCAATGAATGGAAACAAGAAAGAAAACACCAACATGGTTTGAAATCTGTCTAAAGATCAAGAACAAACTCCTTAGACCACACCTTTAGTTTCAGATACAAAAACTCTAATCTAGCTAATGTTATTCAGTTCAACAGAGCTTCCATAAGGTGCAAAGAACAGAATCCATGAATAACAGCCAATTAGCATCCTAATACTACTTTCTCAGCCATATGACATCCAATGGTTTAAACAAAGACTTCTTATTGGTGTATAAAAATATCCTGTCCATAAAAACGGTCCAAGTTGTCTAATAATTATATGACCCTTTGGTTCATAACAAGAGAATCCATGAGCAAACCATTCAAGATAAAAAGCAGTTTAGTTTACAGCCAATGGAAACTCTACACGAGATCCCATCAAATAGAGTTGCAAAGCATGGCTTCCAGCCCAGCATTCGAGATTCAAGAGACGAAAGGCTCGTCTTAAGAGATCCCCGAAGTATCACTTCCAGTAATGTTTTATATTTACTACTTAGCTTCTAAAAATGTTTCCATTTAACCTTCTGTTCCCTGTCAAACAAGAGAAGTTATTTGATCTAGTTGTCTTGCCACTTTTCTAACCTAAAGGGAAAGTCCAAAGAGGGCAATATTTGCTAGCGGTGGGTTTGGACTGTTACAAATGGTTTCAGAGTCAGATACTGGGCGATGTGCCAGCCAGGAAGCTGAGCCCCAAAGGGAGTGGACATGAGGCAGTGTGCCAGCAAGGACGTTGTGCTCTGAAGGGGGTGGATTAAGGACTCCCACATTGATTGGAGAAGAAAATGAGTGCCACGAGGACGCTAGGCCCCAGAGGGGAGTAGATTGTGAGATCTCATATTGGTTGTGGAGGAGAACGGAGCATTATTTATAAGGTTGTGGAAACCTCTCCCTAGCAGACGCGTTTTAAAATCCTTGAAAGGAAGCCCTCCCAAACGGAGAAAACCCAAAGTGGACAATATGTATTAACTGTGCCTGTTGTTACCGTTTGACATTTACTACTTAATTTCTAAAATGTTTCCATTTAACCTTCTGTGACCTATCAAACAAGAGAAGCCATTTGATCTAGCTGCCTGCCACTTTTCTACTAGTTCAATGTCAAGTAGATATCTAATGATCATCAGAGTCTCAGCCATATAATTTGTAGAACAATGGCAATGTTGATCAATGTTCTTCAGTTGATGATATTTACAGGACAGGTTTTGCTCAGTTTGGAATGTTCATCAAATTTCTAAATCAACTCAAACAGGCAGAGATGATAAAATCCTACTGCATTACCCACAAATCTTGCAAGCTAAGAGCATTACAAACCTGGCTTTCCTCTTACACTCTCCAACCACTTAGAAAACCCCAAATCACTGCTGCTTTCCCCATCAGCACTACCACCAGAGGATAACTCCAAATCTGGAAAGGAGGAAAAAAAAAAAAACAAACACACACAAAATTTCCCAATAAAAACCAGAACCCACAATCAGAGAAGGTGAAAATAACCAGAAAAAAACATGAAACCCAGAGACAGAAGACGAACCAGAGACAAGAGGGTTAGATTGAGATCCAGCTAAACCAGCTTTTAGAAGGGCATAGAAGATGCAAAGTCTACCAGCCCACAAAATAGGAGCCTCGATGAGAGAAGCGCGAGCGGTGGTGGCCGAGTTGAAGGTATTGGATCTTCTTTTGTGGAAATAGAGGAAGGTTTTGAGGGCATTTTTGGCTTGGCTTCCAAAACCAGAGGAACGGGTTGTGGGGTGAAGATTGATGGAATGGAGATTTTGGAAGTCGAAGGGGAAGGTGATGGATTGGTAAGGCGAAGTGAAAGTGGTGTGAACAAGAGAGAGAAGCATTCTTAATGAGTTGCAGAGACTGAGGAGATGACTCTCTAATCCACGCAGTGGCTGTGAACTGGGAAGGAAAGCCAAAGCGAAAAAGCGAGACGGACGAAGGGACTTACCCCTAAAACGCCGTCGTCTAGCGGCTGACTTTTGTTTTTATTTGGGTTAATTTTTTTTCTTCTAATTTTATAAATTTTAATAGTTTAATCTCTCCCATGATATATCTGTTTTTTTTTCTTCTCTAATTTAAAGATATGTGAGATGAGAGAAATTTTAATCTCTCCTAAATGGAGATTTACTATTTTCTTCCTCTTGGTTTCATCTAATAGATTTTATTGGATTCTAGAGAAATTTTTCGATTTCTTTCTCAAAATCAGATGATTATTTATCTGCTTTTCACATTTTAAGAAAAGTCAGGATATTGGGCAATATCCAACAAAACATTTAGGGAATCGATCTGATTTTATCACTGTTCGTTATGTTTGAAAAAAAGATCGTAAAGAATATATCTTTCTTTTAGTTGTTGAATCTCTTTGATGGAGAAATGTGTGATATTCCAAATCCTTATTACTAATGAAATCAAAATGATCTCCAAATGGATCATTTAACAATTTAGTCCATAAACTTTAATATGTAATAAGACAATTCAGTTCGTAAACTAAAATAGGTAATAATTTAGTCCGATAACCATTTAATTCCTATTACAAAAATAAAAATTTTAATGTGATGAATGAATGAACATATATTATTAAAATCAAAAAGGCCAATTCATTCCAGCCACCTCATTCAAATATACAACAAGATATGCACTGAATATGATGGAATTGATTATGATATAAATATGAAGGTTATCTCTTAATTGCACATTTCCACAATACATTAATGGGATAAAGTGAATAATCCAATAAGCTAAACACAACATACAACATACTTTTACATATAGAATTACCTCTTCAAGCAACTCCCCTGTTGTTTGACAATGTTGGGAAACTTTTTGGGTAGACTAAATACAGGCTCATCTGCAGCAAGACCTTGAAACGCCATGCCTAACGAATATCCTAACGCTCGAGCAACCGGGACTGCTACTGCATTTCCTACTTGAATGTACCTGTTACATCACCAGCATTTATATTTTTGATGTCTTGGAATAGGTACTTTGATCACTAATCTTCAATACAAAATAGGATATAACTAATCTTCAACAAAAGATAATGAATATGTTCAAGGAATGAAACCGGTTAAAGTTTTTTTTTTCTCAAGGGATACAAAGCAAGAACTTATCATTCATAAATGAAAAGATACAAAGCTAAGGAAAAGGAAAAAGAAAGACAGACGACTAAAACAAAAGGGCAAATACAACCACTACAAAAAAGCAAACTAACCAAAGCCACAAAGCAAGTTATTGCAATCAGTTCAACAAAATTTCTTAAGGAACAATCACTTTACTTGAATTGGTAAAGCGATACATATAAGGTTGCAAACGGTGGAATTGAGTCATTTCTTGATGCAAATGTGAGATCCTACATTGGTTGGGAAAGAGAGCGAAACATTCTTGGAAGGAGAGCGAAACATTCTTTATAAGGGTGTGGAAACCTCTATCATACACATTTTAAAACCTTGAGAGGAAAGCCCAAAGAGGGCAATATATGCTAGCAGTGGGCTTGGGCCGTTACTAATGGTATTAGAGTCAAAACATAGGGAAATGTGCCAACAAGGAGGCTAAGCCTCAAAGAGGGATGGATACAAGGCGGTGTGTCAACAAGGACGAGGTGGATTGGGGTCCCACATTGATTGGAGAAGGAAGCAAGGGAGTGGATTATAAGATTCCACATTAGTTGGAGAGGAGAACGAAACATTCTTTATAAGGGTATGGAAACCTCTAGTAAACGTCTTCTAAAACCTTGAGACAGAGCCTACAAAAAAAAGCCCAAAGAAAACAATATATAATAGCAGTGGGCTTGGAATGTTAGAGCAAAGTTCCTAAACCGCCCAAAGAGCTTGTAATAATCTGGAAAGCCTTGAAGTCTTGCATTTTAACGAATTGTCAATACTCTTTCTTGCTCTGGATGCAAAATTGCCTATGGACGTCAAGGAAATGAGTTGATTGAAGGCTGGTTAACACTTGATATTAAATCATTTGTCCCAAGCAAAAGCAATAAAAGAGAAGAGACGAAGAGTTAACCTGGTTGTGAGGCTCTGCCCGAGTAACAACTGTAGGTACTGTCTCGTCCCACCATAAGCGCCCAAATGGCCTTCATCGTTTCATAAAAATGGGAAATATAAGTGAAGGGTTATGACATTAAAATGAATAAATATGAGATGATTAATAAAACGCCATTGCTTACTTTGGTGATGATCCCTTTACAAAAGTCATGGCATAATCAGGAACCTGCGTTTGCAATGACATAAGATAAAATATGACTAGAAATGGAAAGAAACCAAATAATACACCTAATAGCCAAGCCCGTCCTCTTTGGATTTTCCCTTTCGAGTTTCCTCTCAAGGTTTTTTAAAACACGTCTACTAGGGAGAGATTTTCATACCCTTATAAAGAATGATTCGTTCTCCTCTTCAACCGATGTAGGATCCCACAATCCGCCCCCATCGGAATCCAGCGTCCTCGCTAGCACTCGTTCCCTTCTCCAATCGATGTGGGTCCCTCCAATTCACCCCCCTCTAAGGCTCAGCGTCCTTGCTGACACACCGCTTCGTGTCCACCTCCTAGGTGGCACATCGCCTAGTGTTTGACTCTGACACCATTTGTAAGAGCTCAAACCTACCACTAGCAGATATTGTCCTCTTTGGGCTTTTCCTCAAGATTTTTAAAACACGTAAGCTAGGAAGAGGTTTCCACACAAAGAATGTTTCGTTCTCCTCCCCAACCGATGTGGGATCTCACACACAAAAGTTAAAAAAGCATCTCAAAAGCATTTATATTTTAGAAAACCTTTCTCTTTGGGATCTGACAAACACGTTGATAGTCATCTGTATTTAGTTCAAGTGGCCGATGATCATATAATTCGTGCACTGCTGGCTTAGACTTTGTAGAAAAATCAAACCTTTCTGTAAATAATAATCCACCAAAGATATTACAATTGGCAAGACCATATTCAAATAAAGAAAATAGAAGAAAACCCTTAGACTAAATCATATTCAAGATTATAACCAAGGACAACATTCGTTAGCTCTATTTTACTTTGGATGAAATGGTATCAGAGTCAGACACTGAGTAATGTGCCAGCGAGGAAGCTGAGCCACGATGGGGGTGGACACGAGGCAGTGTGCTAGCAAGGACGCTGGGCCCCGAAGGGGGAGGATTGGAGGATCCCACATCGATTGGAAAAGGGAACGAGAGCTAACGAGGACTCTGGGCCCCGAATGAGGGTGGATTGTGAGATCCCATATCGGTTGGGAAGGAGAAGGAGCATTCCTTAAAAGGGTGTGAAAACCTCTTCCTCGCAGACGCGTTTTAGAAACCTTAAGGGGAAGCCCGAAAAGGAAAGCTCAAAGATGACAATGTCTGCTAGCGATGGGCTTGGGTTGTTACAAATGGTATCAAAGCTAGACATTGGGCGGTGTGCCAATGAGGAAGCTAGGCTCTGAAAGGGGTAGATTGGGAGTCCCTCATTGGAGAGGGGAACGAGTGCCTACGAGAACGTTGGGCTCCAAAAGGGAGTGGATTGTGAGATCCTACATCGGTTGGGGAGGAGAACGAAGCATTCTTTATAAGAGTGTTGAAATCTCTCCCTAGTAGACACGTTTTAAAATCCTTGAGGGAAAACTCAAAGAGGACAATATCTACTAACGGTTCAATACGCACTTGGGGGAAGGAAACAAAGTAGCTAACCTTCCCTAGGCAATCTAATTAAACGCTGAAACTCAGTCATGGGAGGTTTATCAATAGGCATTTCATCTTGACGCTCATCATTTCCAACCTGCACATAATTATGCAAACAAAACTAAGAGCAAAATTAATCACTGAAATCCAAACTGTTAAGAAAGGTAAGAACATACAACAGGAAGATCAGAAATTGCATCTTCCAAAAGAAGCTTTTTTTCCAACTCAACGCCATTATGTCCATCATCAAAAGCAACAGCATTCATCTGTGCATTATAATCATATATTCTCATCAAATCAAATAACAACAAACTAAACCACAATGCCTCAATAACAATTCCATACCTCAAATTCAGTAGGAACTCCACCCCTCACTACAACATCATGAGTTGGAAGAGGATACTGTGGAAGCTTCTGAAAACAAGGGAAATGAATGTTATTACAAGTTTCAAAAGGTCCCTAATACCAAAACCAATGTAGTTATGAGCCAACCTCTGTTGGTTGGGCACCCCACATAAACATTCGCCTACGAAATTGTGGAAGTCCATATGCACCTGCTGCTATCATTCCCATACGAACTTGATAATTCATTGATATTAAACGACCAAGCGCATACCGTCCCAGATATCCATTGGCAAACCTTACAATATCTAATACATTCTCCATCAAAACATAATTAGGCCTAAGATACTCCACTAAGTCCATGAAGACAACAAGCTGTTTGTTTTTCTCATCTTCCAGTGGATTTTCTATGTTCCTGAAGCGATTGAAACCACTAATACCCTGGCAAGGAGGCCCTCCGCAGATAACATCCACATCACCCTACCAACTCAAAAGTTCTAATAAGAACAATATTGAAGAAAAAAAGTAAGTAAAATAATTAAACTTACAGGCAAAGGTAAGCTCTTTGATTTGTAACCATTTGTCACAAAATCTTTCAACTTTTCCTTGCAGTTGCTGTTAAGTAGAACGTAAAGTTTAACTCAGTCAAATGCTTGAACAACAACGATATCAGGCAAGACAACTTCACTAGAATATTTACCTCAATCCCTCAATTGGCTCCCATGTGTCTTCTTCAGAGCCATAACCCTTCCAGGAAACCTACATTTAAATAAAAATAACCTATGGACTAAGTATTAAACAACTCAACTAAGTTAAAGAATATAGCTAAGAACATTTGTAACGCCTCAAGCCCACCGCTAGTTGATATTATCCTCTTTGGACTTACCCTCAATATTTTTAAAACGTGTCTCCTAGGGAGAGGTTTCCACAACCTTATAAAGGGTATTTCGTTCTCCTCCCCAACCAATATAGGATCTTACAATCCACCCCCTTCGAGGTCCAACATTCTCGCTGGCACTCGGTTCCATTCTCCAATTGATGGAGACCCCCGCAATCCACCACTCCCTTTGGGGCCCAGCGTCCTTACTGGCACACCGCCTCGTGTCCACCCTCTTCGGGGCTCAACCTCCTCACTGGCACACCGCCTCGTGTCCACCCTCTTCGGGGCTCAGCCTCCTCCCTGGCACACCGCCTCGTGTCCACCACCGTCAAGGCTCAGCCTCCTCGCTGGCACATCACCTCGCGTCCACCCCCTTTGGGGCTTAACCTCCTCGCTAGCACATCGCCCGTGTCTGACTCTAATACCATTTGTAACGCCCCAAGTCCACTGCTAGCAGATATTGTCCTCTTTGAGCTTTCCTTTTCGGGTTTACCTTCAAGGTTTTTATAATGCGTCTCCTAAGGAGAGGTTTCCACACCCTTATAAAGGGTGTTCCGTTCTCCTCCCAACCAATGTGGAATCTTACAACATTACTATTGTTATGATGAAAAATATCAAATATTGGTTCACAGTCATATCCACATAACTGATTTAGCAAACTGTTAATTAAGATTCAAGCAATCAAATACCTTAAGAAACAATCCACGCTTTTTAGTTCCATTAGGATCACCGTAACATATTGCAAGTATTTTTCCTACTTCAAACACCTCTTCATCATCTTCAGTCTTTTCAGCTTCCCCTTCATCTTCCCCTTCCTCTTCATTAGCAAAAAGATCTACGTACTTTTGTTGTGGCCCTTCACTTTTTATCAACGAAAAATATTTGCAAAGAACTTCCCACTCTTTTAAAAACGATAAAAAATCTTCTGCCATTTCATTTCTAACCTGCAATATAGAACAAGCTAAGAAAGCACAAGTTCTATTATGGTTGAATATCAAGTTGAATTCAATCATAAAAAGTTAACCTCTGTCTCTGGGTGATTGAACTTTAGACTTTCACAAGCATATTGATTTAAATCAACTGCCCATTTCTGTTAAACAAAAAAAGAAAACAGAGAGGAAAAAAATGAAGCTATGAAATAAATTTCATGTGATCAGTTGTTTAAAATATGTGAAGCAACATACTGTGACTAGGTTCACCCCAGACAAATTGCCGCCTAAACATAATCCAGTTGACATGGCACCACATCCTGAATATAAATCAAGAAGTGCAACATCAGGCTTACAACACTGATGTGCTTGAGTGACATCCCCAATTGAGGTCACTTCACATGGTCCATTGGTATCACCCTCGGAGGAAATTGTCGACGACGCCTCACTGCCAACCCTTTTCTCACCTACAAGTTAAGATACATGTGAGAACCATATATTATTGAGGATGTAAGTTAATCAGCTTGACTTAGCAAAAGAAGTTATGCTGAGAAGTTATTAACTTGGAGGATAATTGTTCAAGAAGTTATTGGCTTGAATAGGTTTCAGAAAATTGTTGCTAAACTTGAGGAGAAAGTTTAGGAAACTAGTTACACTTTCTCCACTATAAATACGGTATGTTATTTCACAAAAACAAAGATAATTGAAAAGTATAAATGCTTAAGGTTCCTCTATTTAAAAGCTCTCTCCCTCGAGTTGTTCTTTATGCTATAGTTATTTGTTTCGACATATTTCGAACAGTCATTTCTAACAAATACATGTTCCAAGAAATTAATTCTTTTACAAACTTTTTTTCAGGCAGTTTAATGAATGAGGAATACGGCAACAAGTATAACATGTCACAGTAGAAGTCACAAGCTGGAGGACGGGTTTTCTTCTTATCCATGGCCATCTGAAACAAAAAACAAGCAAAAAAAATTAGCATCATCCTAATAAGAAAACCCTCAAACAGATGTACAAATGTAAAAATTATACACTTATAGGAATTCTAGCTATATTTAGCTTCTTAACAAGACAATCCAATGGATTATCATCCCGAACTTCTGAAAAGAATACACGCTTGTCATTGATGAGATGAGCATGATCTTTCACAACCTAAAATGTAACAAACAAAATCTAATGTCAATTGATTACCAGGCCAAGAACAGTTTGAGTAAAACATAATGGAAACGCATTATGTTCATCTTACAGTATCTTTAGCTCTATAATACCATTGAGCAGTGAAATATAGTTGCCCATCGACAGCCTCGAACATTTCAACAATTCTGCATATATAATCTTCCTCCCCATCTTCAGCCTAAACACAACCTTCCATGTACAATTAATATAAGAATCTACGCCAAGAATTTAAACAAGGAAAACAGTATCCTACAGAATTTTAAAAGAAATTAAAACTTTAAACTTGAGTATGTAAATCGCACCTTAACATGGGCATCATCAAAGAGATTGTAAATGGTATTGTCAACTTCAGCCTGTGAGTAATGACGGTGAGCCTGAATTACCTCTTCAGCGTCATCCCTATAAGATAACAGAAACAAAAGGGCACCAAGGAAAAAGAAAACCGTTAATATTGCATGTGGGTATGTATTCTACAAGCATATAGTTATTAGCAAGAGTTGGATAGTTCATGAACTAGAGACGTTACCTTGAATTTTTCTCCCCATCTACCTGCTGCTGCTTCTGAACAAATAAAAGAAAATAAGTAGATGTGAGTCAAGCTAGAACCAAATCTTAGTGTGTTGTACTTATACAAGCATAGTAATGTATGGTGCAAAACGTCAAGTAAAGATCGATATACTAAAGAGCCTAAGCAGTAATTGCCTGGTGAGCTTGGAGATCAATGGCACAAGAAACATTTCAGTATCGTTGTATCAACATGCATGTTTATATATAAATTTACATTACTTGTATTTTTCTAATATAACAAGATTCTTTTTTTTGCTATTTTTTTTGAGCTTGAACTAAAAATAACATTAAGAGACCTTAGCAAACAAATGCAATAGGTGCTAGGAACTACGACCCTCCACAATGGTATGATATTGTCCACTTTGAGTATAAACTCTCATGGCTTTGCTTTTGGTTTTTCCAAAAGGTCCCGTACCAATGGAGATAGTGTTCCTTACTTATAAACTCATGATCTTCCTCTTAATTAGCCAAGGGACTACTCCTTTCAATAATCCTCAAACAATCCTCCCCTTAAACAAAGTACATCACATAGCCTCCCTTTTGGCCTACTATGGAGATTTCAAACAGCCTCCCCTTAATCGAGGCTCGACTCCTTCTCTGGAGCCCTCGAACAAAGTATACCCTTTGTTCAACACTTGAATCACCTTTGAGTACACTTTTGAGACTCACAACTTCTTTGTTTAACACTTAAGGATTCTATGACATGGCTTTGACACCATGCTATGAACCATGACCCTTCACAATGGTATGATATTGTCCATTTTAAGTATAAGCTCTCATGGGTTTGTTTTTTGTTTCCCCAAAAAGTCTCGTACCAATGGAGATAGTGTTCCTTACTTAATAAACCCATGATCTTCCTCTTAATTAGCCAATGCGGAACTACTCCGCCCAATAATCCCCAACAATAAGATCATATTGTTGTCTCATGACCATGAGAATAGTTAAACTACACGCAAGCTGTGGCCAAGATATATATAAAATGAAGAAGCAAACTGCAACAATAGCAGCAGCAGCATTAAGAGAAAAGTAAAAATGTTAAATAAGTTGGAGAATATTATTAAATACAAAGTTTGAAAGTTTTGTTGGGATATGGAGCCTGATGCCAATTATTTACCGTAAAGATCTTGTAGAGATATATTTTGTAGATATTTCGTAAAGATCTGATAGAGATATATTTGGTAGATATTTGGTAAACATTTGATAGAGATATATTTGATAGATTATATCTCGTAGGTGGTTAAATCTTTAAAAGTTATATTTAGTAAATTGAAACCCTATATATACTCGATTAGGCAATCCTTTCAAGATGTACTTACTTCATTCTCTGTATTCTCTCTTGTTGTATATACCTGAAATCATCAATAAAACCTTTAGTTCATATTCCTCCTTGTATTTTCTCTCTCTTGTTCTTCGTGTTCATCTTGATCGAGTGTGTGCGTTGTTGAGCGATCCTAACAACTGGTATAAGAGTGAGGCGAAATTCACCACGATCTGTGAAGATTGAAATTTCAAAGATTGGCACAATAGACTTGAACATATGAGTGTTAAAGGAATGAAGATGTCAGCTGCGGAAGGAGTTTTGGAAGGTTTGAAATCTATTGATATGAGTCCTTGTGAGAACTGCGATATGAGCAAACAGAAACGAGTTGGCTTCACAAAGACTGTTAGAGAATTGAAGAAAAGTATCGGGACAACGAAGCAAGTGGGAGTTGAGATTGAGTTGCTGAAAGATTCACCTAGTGATGTTGTAGCGGATACTCAAGAAACTCCTAAGACTGTTGCTGAGGAACCAGAGGTGAAACAAGTTGGAATTGAGATTGAGTTGCTGAGGAACCAGAGGTGAAACAAGTTGGAATTGAGGTTGAGTTGCTGAAAGAATCACCTAGTGATGTTGTAGCGGATACTCAAGAAATTCCTGAGACTGTTGCTAAGGAACCAAAAGCGGAGCAAGTGACACCTGAGCAGGTGTTGAAAAGATCATCCAGAGCCATCAGAGTATCAGATAGATATGTACCTTCTTTACACTATCGGTTGATGACGGATGAAGGGGAACGCGAACCCCTTGATGAGGCCCTACGGTTGGAGGATACAACCAAGTGGGAGCAAGCCATGGATGATCGGATGTCTAAGCTTTAGAAATGCGTTACTCTTTCATCTGCTGAGGCTCAGTACGTGGCAATAGCTGAAACTGGAAAGGAGATGACATGGATGACAGACTATATAGAAGAATTAGGCAAGAAGCAGTGAGAAGATTCTTTAGGTAGATAGTTAAAGTGTCATGCAGTTGGCGAGGAACCCGATCTATCATTCAAAGACAAAACACAGAAGGTGATGTCATTTCACTCGGAGGTTAGTGGAAGATGGTAATGTGTTTGGAGAAGATAAAGGGTGCAAGGAATCCAGCAAACATTTTGTGTTGATGTTGGAACATTGAGGTTGTGCAAAGCCTCAAGTGGTATGATACTGATTGAGAATAAAATTCTTGGTTGACTAGATCAGTTTCCAAGTGGGAGATTGTTGGAGTTGACTACAGTCTACAAGTGGAAGATTGTTGGGATATGGAAAATTCTTGGTTGACTAGATCAGTTTACAAGTGGGAGGTTGTTGGAGTTGACTATCTGTCAGTGGAAGATTGTTGGGATATGGAACCTAATGCCTATTTACACTAAAAATCTTGTAGAGATTTATTTGGTAGATATTTCTCAGAGTTAGTTAAATCTTTGAAAGTTATATTTAATAAATTGAAACCCTCCCTATATATACTCGATCCAAGATGTAACATACCTAAAATCATCAATAAAACTAAATTTTTAGCTAATATTCCTCCTCGTATTTTCTCTAGTTTCCAAGTGGGAGATTGTTGGAGTTGACTATTAGGGTGTGTGCGTTGTTTCTCTAGTTTCCAAGTGGGAGATTGTTGGAGTTGACTATTAGGGTGTGTGCGTTGTTTCTCTAGTTTCCAAGTGGGAGATTGTTGGAGTTGACTATTAGGGTGTGTGCGTTGTTAAGCGATCCTAATAAGTTTGACCTATTAGACATTTTTGAATTACTGTTTACCCAATGATAGTTGAATATTATTAACCACTTCATTAGAGAAGCCTTGAAAATACCCACTTGATGCTCCATCCTAATCCTAGGTACTAATGTCCTCCTCCAAAACAAATAGTCACCTCAATTCAACCCCATCCAAGAACAAGTAGAAATTGTTAGACGAACACGAATCTCCACAATGGTATGGTATTGTCCACTTTGAGCCTAAGCTCTCATAGCTTTGCTCTGACCTTTCCCAAAAGGCCTCGTACCAATGGAGATAGTATTCTTTGATTATAAACCCACGATCATTCCCTAAATTAGCCGATGTGGGACTTTCATCATCCAACAGAAAATCTCATTTTCTTGGGGCTAAAGTCCTTCAAGAAAACCAACAACCAAAAAAAATCCAGCAACAAGCAGCAATATAAGACTTCCGGTATTCGAATTAAGTTCTTCCACACATTGAATACCCACATCAAGAGGTTAACACACAAATACATCAAAATTACCGAAATCTCGTGCTATAATGTCCCATTTCCGCTATACAACCGAACAAAAAAAAACCCAAAGCAATATTTCGGGAACGAATTTCAACTACCTTTCCCCGATACTGCAGAGGCCACCGTTCTCTCGCCTCACTATCTGGAATGCGGGGCTCCACGAACCTAGCCGAATCATAGTCCTCGTCGCCGCTCAATTCCGCCTTCACCTTCGTGCTCTGAGAAGCCAGTTTAGCGGGGGAATGTGAAATGGGAGTTCCATCTCCATTGAGCTCGGATTTGAGCTTCTTGTTGGGGGAAGAAGCATCAGCGTCGGGCTCAGGGGAGATGGGAGCGGCAGATTTGGAGCGTCCGTTGGAAGACATTGTGGAAGAGGAGAGAGCGAACGAACTGTTCAGACAAAACTACTAAGATTTGAGGAGATGGTAAATTTGAATTTTTCTAGATTTGGATGATTATTCTAAGCATCTAGACAATAATAAAGTAATCATTCGTCTATTCTATCTGTTCTTATCTTTTCACTCTTCTTTTGGATGAGAGAAGAAAAAAGGGAAAGACCCTTTTATAGCATCGGAAAAGGATCAAGATTTTGAAGTGGGCGGGAAGCTTTTTTATTTTTTTTTATTTTTTATTATTAGATTTAAATTAATAAAAATAAAAATAAAAAAACTTTTTAACATTACTATTTTATCTCAACTACCAAACTTTTTAATAATACTCTTTAAAAGTCACAATTTCAAAAATATCTTTTAATTTTAAAAAATATTATTAAATGTTTTTTTATTTATTTTCAAACATTTAAATAATATATTTCGATATATATATATTAAAAAATATTGTATTCTAAATAGTTAAAAGTTAATTTTAAGAGTTATTAGAGAATAATTAATCAAATAAAACTAGGTATATATAATTATTTGCTAACTAATAATGTATAAAATTAACAATAAATTCGGGTTGGTTTGATTCATCTCAATCTAATTTTAGAATAATCATGAACTAAATGCATAAATTTTTTATTTATTTGAATTTAGCTTAATTCAATCGGTATGGATTAAGTTGGATTGATCCAGACATTAGAGTTGTTAACACCTCTATCACTCTCTTTGTTTACTAAAAACTACATTTTTTTTTAATATTTCTTTTTACATATTTTAATCTTGTTAACATAAACAAATAAACAAAACCATTTGTTTTTTAAATGAATAATGTAATTTTTAAATTTCTAAAATTTGACTCTTGGTCTCTAAATATGAGTAAGTAACTTATAAACTAGGTGGAAACAAGCATCAATTTAAAAAATCAATTAAAAAACGGAATCATTATAAAATAGAGCAGATGGTGTTTAGATCCCTATAAAATTGAAAATGATAATGATTGGATTCGAGAGGAACATAATTACACAAAAAATAGAATAACTATGAGATCTCACGTTGTTTTGGGTAGGAGAACAAATCGTTCTTCATAAAGGTATGGAAATCATTTTAGAAACACTGAGAGAAGCCCGAAATGGAACGTGGGCTTGAACAGTCATAATAACTCTTAAGTTTGAATTTAGAAAAATTACGTTTGAAACCTAAATTACAACAAATTAAAGACTTTTATGTTTTAAAAGTTTGGATTTAATAATTTTGATCAATTATGTGGGTGTGAAGGGATGAAAATTACAATACTTTATGTCACCATGAGTAATTTTAGACTCGAATGCTAGCGAAAATAGGTAAAAAATGAAAGTGAATTATAGTCAAATAAATGAGAGGTCCAATATTCCATGCGAACTAAGTTGAATTTTAATTCATTCACATAAATTTTATGTTTTTATATCACATTTTTTTCCTTCCAAATTATAAATTTAGTGAAGATTAAATGAGATTTTTCAACAATTATAATTATGTTAAATTATTTAAGATTTTCAATCACATATAAATTTGTAAATGTAGAGATAAAAGAAGACTACAATGATAATATATTCGGACAATAACTAAGGCATACTAATTACTTTTTAAGTCATTGCTTACTTTTACGAAGTTATTACTTATTATTATTATTATAATAATAAAAAAAATGGTTATGTTACATAAAATACCCCTAAACTTTGAACTTTGTAATTCGATTTCAATCGTGCGGATAGGATAGAATTGTAAAATTATTGGTGAACTCCAAAAAAAACCTGTTCCAGGACTAACGTGCAACAATTGGAAAACATATGTATCATCATTTACATCATTCACATAAATGGACAAGACAACTTTTATGTACAAATTGAAATTAACATTTTCTTCCGATAAAATAAATGACAACAATCTTAATATTTTATATAACTGCAAATAACATCACAATTTCCCGAAAATGAGGGATCTGTAATATGCATATTCCTAAGAACTACTTTTAGGAGAAAACATAGAACAATTTAAAAGTTAGAAATGTATTTTTTAAAAACAAATTTCAAATTCTAGGAGCATAACCTGAAAACCTACCCGAAGTTCTTGAGTACTTTTTATAATTTAACGCAAAAAAAAAAAAAAAAAAAAAAAAAAACTTGAAAGTAGAAACTGATTATTTGATCTGATTGAAAATATATAGCCTTTTTCAACCGGCAAAAAGAAAAGGCAGGCACATACAAGACGTAGAAACATAACAAAACAAGTCAAGATGGTTATGGAATAGATACCAATAAAACATGAGGGCTAAGTGTTTGGTAACCTTCTGAGTATCGAGTGCTCTGGTTTATGCTCACATTCAAAGTCCAGATGAACAAATGCCCTTTCAACTTCTGGAAGCTTTTCGATTTTGATCTGCAACGTTTCTCCAATGGCGTGTGCTTCTTTCAATGGAAGCTCCTCCGGAAGTTCAATGTCCACCTGATTGGTTGTCAGTATAAGCATATCAAATTCTTAATTACATAAATATTTAAAACAATGTTCCTGTTAACTTTAAACCATCAAACGGCAACCGAGTATAGTTCTTGGTTAAGAGATTTGTTTCAACCTTTTTATTAGAAGGTGCCAATATGAAAAAGTGTGAGATCCCACATCAGTTGGGAGGAGAACGAAGCATTCTTTATAAGGGTGTGGAAACCTCCTCCTAGCACACATGTTTTAAAAACCTTGAGGGGGAGCCTGAAAGGAAAAGCCAAAAGAGGACAATCTCTGGTAGCGTTGGGCTTGGGCTGTTACAAATGTATCAGAGCCAGACATCGAGTGATGTGTCAGTGAAGAGGCTTAGCCCCAAAGGTTGGTGGACACGAGGCGGTGTGCCAGCAAGGACGCTGGGCCCCGAAAAAGGGTGGATTGGGGGGTATCACATCAATTGGCGAAGGGAACGAGTGCCAACAAGAATGTTGGACCCCAAAGGGGAGTGGATTGTGAGATCTCATATCGGCTAGAGAGAATAATGAAACATTCTTTATAAGGGCGTGGAAACCTCCCCTAGTAGACCGTGTTCTAAAAATCTGGAGGAGAAGCTTGAAAGGGAAAGCCCAAAAAAGACAATATCTGCTAGCGATGGACTGTTAAAGAAAGTTCCTTAAATTATAACATCTGTTTTTGGATTGTTTTAAAATCATGCAGACATGAATTTATGAATTTAGAAATATGCTCGTCATTAATAACCACTAGTTACAAATTTAAAATAGGTTAGCAATTTCGTTCTTATATCTAAGAGTGTAAAGTTATCATGTGCAAATCACATTGCGGTGATTATGGTGCTATTACAATAAACGAAAAAACTAAATGCAAGATAGAAAAAGTATGGCTGACCTCTACAAAATAAAGAACACCAAAGGTGTAGGCACGAACTGTATCGACGCGTTTGACCTCAGGATGCCTAATGACAAGATAAGTCAACTTTTGCAGGACTTCAGGAGGGGCTGATTTCCCCACGAGTGAAACTACAACAAGAATTAACCTCGTGTTAGTTGTAAGCTGGAAGGAATGCAAGTATCATGAAATGAGAGAATGGCTCACAATTCAAAACTGCAAATGCTACAAACATACAATTACTTCAGGTATATGACAAAAATATAGTTATTTCAAATCTTTTTTTTTAAATCATATCACATTTACCATGACAACAGAAGAACGTTTGCACCAATATCTTCTTTTCGCTCTGCAACTCGATGAAGAACATTTTCATTTAGAACCATGGGTGCTAGACTTATTATTATAAAACTCCTTACCGGATCTAATCGTTTTAGTATTTTGTTATGCCCAGTAAAAGTTAAAAGAAGAAAAAGAAAAAAGGAATCATGGGATTTCCCAAAAAGAAGACTGATTAGCATATCCAACAAACATCAGAAATTTTCATTTTAGGAGAAAGGGAACAAAATGCGAGTAAATATGTACCTGCATTTTCCCATACAGTTCCAGACCAATTTAAAATTGTATATATGGCTAAGGCAATAGCACCGATCGGATCTATCCACCAAAAGATCTTATCACCAAGAATAGCTGCAACTAATCCAACCACATTTGTTACGACATCAAAGTAATGATCCTGGGAAATAGCATTGGAAGGATTTATGCCATGTATATTGAAGAATTATTCATTTGAAAACAAATGCATAATAATAATTGTAGGTTAAACAACCTTCGCATAAGCGCGCACAATATCATTTCTTGAGCTTTTGCAGTAAAACCAGAGGGCAAGTTTTACTACTGTGGCAGAGATCATAATTGCGCACAGCCAGATGAATTGTTCTGGCGACAGACCCTCAGACGGTTTATCTTGAATTAGTTGTTCTGCAGCTTGAAGCAATACCTGAAATCCTAAACAAGAAATTGAAATGGGTTAGCCATCCACATTGTTAAAGTAACCCAAATCATACAATCATGCTTGGAATGAAATTTTGAGGTAACCAAGATGATTCAGCCATTAAAGATTCCAGAATACAAAATGAATAGATAATTGCACAGACTTGCTCTCTGCTAGTTACAAGACATAGGCGTAATATCCACCAATTATGGTTGTCTATACTTTAACTTGTTATAATTGAGAAAGAATCTTCATTTTTTGCAGGAATATGAGGTAGATAGACAATAGAATTACTAGACATTCCTACCATCCGATCATGGTTCAAATGGCTGAATGAGAAAAGCAATGCAATTTCACACTGGTTTTAAAGGAACAAGAGATACCTAACGTAGCCATGACAGCAGCAAATACAATAATGCCGACTGGCTGCACCCTCAGCTTTCCAATCGGGAATTTATAAATATTTACTCGCTTCATGTACAAGTGAGTAAACCAAAGTATTCCACCAGCCAAGAGATCAAGTAAGGAATCCAGTGTTGACGCAGCAATGGCTATGGATCCACTCCGTACTGTAGCATAAATCTGCAAACTGTCACTAGAGAGTGAATTCAAGGTCTGGAATAAGGGACCAGAACAGAGCCTTTAATAAACCACAAAACAATCATAATCAGCTCTTGATTTATATATGCTCAGCATTGAGGCCATACCAATTTCAACAATTCATTTTCTATCTCGTTTTCTTTTCCTTGTTAATAGTTGATTTAGGACTAAGTCTGCAGAAAATTGGTGATATCATAATTAATGCTGCTCATTATAAGCCAACGGCTACGAAATTCTTCATCTAGTGTACTAAATTCATGGTTGGTAACATAGACGACCTTCAATAAAAGAAGTACTATATTCGCATAGTTTGAGATCTTCATGGCCCTCTCTTCCTGAGCTCGTTCTTCACTGTCTTCCTCGTCAATGCAGTCAGATGTCACCAATGAATCGACTTCCTCAAATGACTTTAAGGTAGCAATTTGCCTTTCATAGTAGTCCTTTTCCCCTATAACAAACCAATACGTCAGTAGTATCTGTTCTTCCACCCTAGAACATTGAAGATGGCGATTACTCAGAAGATGACAACCTCAATAAAAAATAAAAAAAGAGAAAAAAACGAGCATTCGAAATGAACATTTCGCATCAAAAACAGTCTAGGTTAATCAGATTTCACTCTAATGAACAGAGGATATAAAACAGAGTTTAGCGTTGCCTCCGCCTTCGTAATCATCCCAGAAGTACACTAAAGAACAAGCGAAGAGCAAATAATCATAAACAAAACAAGAATTCTCCTCGTTTATCATCTTCATTCTTTCAGCAACCAGAAAGAAATTGAAACAGCAAATAACAAAAGAGATAAGAGAACGATAATCAGGAAGAGAGAGAAGAACCTCTGCTAAAGGCAGTCGACTGCGAAAGATCAATTTCATAGGGAGATTCAACATCCTGAAGATGAGACTTCACTTTTTCAGGCAATCTAGAAATGAACTCGCTACGGAGCGAGTTCACCGAGTATCCCCGACTGAGTCGGCCGCGTCTCCCGCTGCCGTCGCGCTTCACCGCCCCTGCCAACAACGCCGTCTTCGGATTCGAATCCGGTCCTCCGTCCATTTTTCCGGCGAGCTTCAGCACAGGAACAGTCGCCTTCCTCCTCGGCCAATCGAGAAACGAAGCTGCCAACCCAATGCAGCTGATCTCAGAGAAACGCACGGGTAAACAGAGAAGGAGAAATGCCTTTTTAACTGCAAATTGAAATTTTGGGTGTCATTCGCCGTTTAAATAAAAAACCAAATTAAAATAAAAAAAAAAAGGAGAAATTAAAATAATATTAAGAGTAAATTACTAAATTATATTTTTAGTTCAACTGGTTTGAAATTTGTTTATATTTAGTTATTATGTTTGACCTAAATTCATTAATTTATTTTATTCATAATTTCTGTATTTTATTTATTTTAATTTCGACTATTAAATGGTTGAGTTAAACATTTATTTTATTCATAATTGCTATATTTTATTTTTATTTTCAGACATGATTGAGTTACGATCAATTTAAATTAGTCGAACTTATTAGTCTCGTTAAATTAGAAACGTAAAAAAGCTTAATTTATGTGCTTCATCTCACTAGGTCGTCTCGTTAACGGGTCAAACCCACTGCTAGTAGACATTGTTATCTTTTAACTTTTCATTTCGGGTTTTCTCTCAAGGTTTTTAAAACGAGTTAGTTTCCCTCTCCAACTTACGTGGGATCTCACAATCTCCATTGCACCTTTTTTTTCTCGATCTCTCCCACCCAGTGTTACGTCGTACATTCATCGTGGATCGTGACACCTAGCACTCGCACACACAACTTTGCCCCTCCTCCAATGTCTGTTGTCGTGCACAGCATCGCTACCAAACCACCACTGAGTTAGTTTTTCTCTCTCTTACCCCCTCACTGTCGGTTGTTCTCTATCATCTAATATACAACCGTCGTCATCGTCATTGCGTGCGCAAATGCTGCCACTATCGATTTTGCACAATGAACGAATTTTGGGTTCAAGTTACCTTACTTTATTTTCTCGGGTAAGAAACCGTTTATTCCGACCCTGATTTTCAATCGATTTAGATAACTCGGACCAACACTTGATTATTAAAATTCTTATGTTTAATTTCAAATTAATTCTCGGTTTAAGCTCATTTAGCTTCACGAACAATAGTTGGTAAAAAAATGACTAACGTAACTCTCTTAGCCATTTTAGGATAATTTTCAACGATCACGTTCAAACCTCTATTTTTAGTTTCTCGGGCAATAATCGCATACCCCAAGCAAAAACCTTTATAGGTAAATTTGGTAATTGGTTGCAATTTTATTATGAACCAACTCTCACTATAGGATTATAAGGTAAGGTTGGACATGTGTGAGTTGTCTTTATGTGTTATGTAATGCATGTTCTATCACGTGATAGATACGAAAGTCAATTACGAGACTTCATACATAAATATAAATGGCGTGTAGCATCGTGACAAGTACAACAACAATTATTCATTGAAAATCATGATCACGATGCACTATGACATATGAAGATCAGCTCTATTGATTGGATACAGATTCTTATTAGTTAGGGTAAAATCTCTGACGATTCTTGGTTGTGCACCTCCAAATAATCGAAGATAGGTATAATTCATCGGAGTGGTAAAATAAAGTGTTTGATTGAAATGGTATATGTCTCACCTATTAAAGAAAAATACTCAATTATTATTATTATTATTATTTTTTTTTTTTGCCATATCATTAATGTCAAATACCATTTTGGTACATGTTTGTTCATATAATAAATAAAATATTTTACGTCACTTCCTCTATTAAATAAATATTTTATTTTTTAAACAAAAAATTGAATAAATGAATTAATAATCAGGGTCGTATTTATTATTTAATAGAATTGTTTAGACGGAAATAATTTACGATTCGAATAATTAAATTAAAATTAAAAAAAATGTTTCTACCCAACTAATTATCGTTAAATTTTTTAATGTTATTTTTTAAATTTCATGAGTATTTTTGTGATACTAATGTTAATATTATTTTTTAACTTTTTAAAATTAAAGGATATTTTTTAAACGAGTATTTTTTTATATTTTTTAAATATAAAGATATATTTTTAGATTTTTTTTATATCAATAAAACTTTAAAAATTAAATCTTGTCCTTCGTTGTAAAAAAAAAAAAGGAGAGAGAAAATATATATTTTTATTTGAAAATATTATTTTAATATAAAAAGTGTTAAGTCAACTTTGCAAATCATATATTATATTGATAAAGAATGTAACAACGTACAATAAATTTTATATTTATATTAAATATTTACACGTGTCAATTTTTAAAAAGTTAGAAATATTATTGCACTATATATAAAAGGTAAATCTTTAAACTATATTTAATTTGATAGTGTTATAATCTTTACAATATGCTTAGATTAACGTATCCATCGATTTTTGTCTATGATTAATAATTTTTTTTATTTTTTTAAAACGTAATAATAACAAGAGGGAGAGACTCAACCTAAAGTCAAAGAATAACGACAAGATCAAAACAAGACAAAAGTCAAAGAATAGGAAAAGTAACCCAAAAAACAGACAAACGATAAAAATCAATGCAAAGAACAAAGTCACATGTACAAATCTTCGAGACCGGTAGAAGCTCAAAGATACACTCTTCCCTAGAAACCTTCAGACTAGGCAACAATGAAAACGACTCGAGGAGTGTGAGGATGTAATACGTTGTCACAAAGCTTACATTTCCTTGAAGTCTGAGAACACGTTCAAAACCAACTAAACCCTAAACCCTAAAACCCTAAACTTAAAGTCAAAACGTAACGATAAAATCCAAACAAGAGAAAAGCCAAAGAATAGGAAAACTAGCCCAAAAAACAGACCAACGATAAAAATCAACGCAAAGAACAAAAAGTCATATATACAAATCTTCGGGACAGGTAGAGCTCAAAGATACACTCATCCCTAAAAACCTTCCGACTAGGCAACAATGAAAACGACTCAAGGAATCTGAGGATATAATACGTTGTCACAAAGCTTACATATCCTTGAAGTTCGAGAACACGTTCAAACCAACTTCACAGCTCAAAACAAAATATGTAAAAGTATTTATGATTAAATTGGATAAGAGTAAGTCATTCCCCACCAGTAAGATTTAGGACACGTCTGAATCGACTTTCTAAGTATAAAAGTAGGTGATTTTAATCACTTAGAACAACAGTTCAAATATGTCACAAGACAGACCACGCTAGACGGCTCACATTCCGAGCTTTGAAATGAACCAAACAGAGCACGAAGTCCAAGAAGACTACATCAAACATCACCATCCAACATGTCACCCATAGTTTGTAGGGGCCAACTTATCACGTTTGGCTATACAAGTCTTATCCTACATGTATCAACGTCATAAAAAGTTTGACAAATTCAATATCAAACAAACTTAAAGCATTGGAATGTGTTAGACAAAATCATACCAATATTCAATACTCATCGATATTATTACCTCATCTCCAATCAAATCCGACCGAGCTAATGAGACCACACAACAACCCGACAAAAAGAGTAAAATAATGCCCGAACAAATTGAAATATAAATTAAATAAATGGACGAATAGAAATAAAAGAAAAACCCGTTTCAAAACTAGCATTAAAGTAGAAACTCTTCTGAACTTTTAATAGAAATTAGGATTTGTAATGATGTGACGGTGACCTAAAATAGATTGTTTTGCATTTATTTTTTATTTTCTCTAAATTTCAATATTTCGTATTTAAACACGTAAGACCATGACTGTATTTTCCAAACAATAAGTTGTTTTAAGCATTTTCGAAGTTTATGTTATAAATGATGTTCATTTTAAAAATTATATTTCCGCACTAGAGATGAACATGAGACGTTAGTAACGACTTTTTGAGTATGCGAAAATTTAGGATCGTTACACCTAAAATTAAGGGTGTTAAAAAAACTTAATAACTAAAAAAATTCGATCAAAGAACGAACCTGTCTAGTTTGAGTTGGGTTATGTTTAAATAAATGAAATTTTATAGATTGAGTTGGTTTATGAGTTCTCTTAAAACGACAATGGGTTAATCGAACCAACTCGAATTTATTGTTAATTTTAAAATATACATTTTTGCTTACAATATCATATATATTTATTTTAAATAATTTTTAACTATTTGTGCGATGCTTTAAAATGGCAAATTTTACTAACATTTTACTTTTATAAAAAATAAAATATTCAATAAATTACTAGAAAAAATTAAAAACTAGATTGAGCTCGGTTTATTATGAGTTGAAATAATTTACATCTCGAACAATTGAACTGAATCTGAAAAATATCTCAACCCAAATCAACTGAACCTACCAATGCTCGTACTTGTAATAGTTTGACGATCCAAATCATCTTCTAGGTCACCGTCGCTCGATTGAGGTCCGAGTTTTGGTTTGAAAATTTAAAAAATTTATATTTCTAAAAAAGTTTTGAAATATTTATTTAATGAAGTAAAATGTGGGTACCTTAGGCATGCATTTAGCAAAGCAAGAATTGGCGTTTGGTCGCACATCCATGCCACAGGCCACAGGCGCGGCGCCAAACGTGCCGTATATGGCAGTGCAGTGGGGCGAGTCAACCAAGCCAGTCCATGAGGAGGGCTTATTTGATCCATTCCTCCCTCATCATGTGAATCCCTGACCCATTAATTCCCTCCACGTTTTCATTGCAATTATTGGGTATTTCCTACAATCTATTCAAAGCTATAATCATTTCATCAATAATGATTCAAATTTGTTCGCATCTTTTTCCGTGTATATGTCGGAAAAAAAAAATTGTGAGATCCCATGTTGAAAAGGGGAACGAAACATTCGTTATAAATGTCTGAAAACCTCCTCCTAGCATACGCGTTTTAAAACTATGAAGTTGATAGCGATATGTAACCGGCCAAAATGGATAATATATGTTGTTAGTAGTGGGCTTGAGCTGTTACCAATGATATTAGAGCTAGTCACTGGATGGTGCGAGACACTGATTGAAGTAGGGTTAGACCCCTCTCCATAGTAGACATGTTTTAAAACCTTGAGGAGAAGCCCTTGACAGACAAACCCAAAGAGGATAATATCGGCTAGCGGTGAGTTTGGAAAATGGTATTAGAATCAGTCACCTGATGGTGCGATGCACTAATCGAAGTAAAGCTAAATCATCTCCAT